GAAGCGGCCGCCATCGGGCTCTCCCGGGAGCGGGAGAGGGCCCTGGATTACTACGGGCTGTACGACGAGCGTGGCCGCCCTTACAGTTACCCCATCGTGGCTGAAGAAGACCTGATGCCAGAGGATGATCAGAGAGCAACCCGCAACCTCTTCATTGGCAACCTGGACCACAACGTGTCAGAGGTGGAGCTCAGACGTGCCTTTGAGAAGTACGGCATCATCGAAGAAGTGGTGATCAAGCGCCCTGCCCGCGGCCAGGGCGGCGCTTACGCTTTCCTCAAGTTCCAGAACTTGGACATGGCACATCGGGCCAAGGTTGCCATGTCGGGCCGCGTTGTTGGCAGGAACCCTATCAAAATTGGCTACGGGAAAGCCAACCCTACTACCAGGCTGTGGGTGGGTGGTCTCGGTCCCAGTACTTCCTTGGCTGCCCTGGCAAGGGAGTTCGACCGTTTTGGGAGCATCAGGACTATTGACTATGTGAAGGGAGACAGCTTCGCTTATATCCAGTATGAGAGCTTGGATGCTGCCCAGGCTGCCTGTGCGCAGATGAGGGGCTTTCCTTTGGGAGGACCAGAGAGGAGACTCAGAGTGGATTTTGCCAAAGCAGAAGAGACAAGATACCCACAGCAGTACCAGCCGGCGCCGCTCCCCGTGCACTACGAACTGCTCGCTGATGGGTACAGCAGACACAGAAGCCTAGAGCAAGACTTGAGGGTGCGAGATAGGACTCCTCCACATCTCCTGTACTCAGACAGAGACAGGAGCTTTGTCGAGGCAGAGTGGGCCAGCCCTGCCAAAAACGCCGAACGCAGAAACAACTTGGAAAGCTACAGCCGGTCGGTGCGTAGCCGGAGCGGAGAGCGCTGGGGCAGCGACAGCGATCGCGGCGTGCCCAAACTGTGGGAAGAGAGGCGGAAACGCCGGAGCCTTTCCAGTGACCGCGGGAGGACTACTCACTCGCCTTACGAGGACAGAAGCAGGACAAAGGCCAGTGGGCCAGCTTTAGACCGCAGCCCAGAGAGGGCTCGCAAGGAGAATCACACTACAGAATCTGGAGCCGAGAAAGAGCCGAGTAACTCCCTTCAGAACAATCGTCATGCGACTGAGGAGAAACCCCATCGTGAGGCCCCCGATGCTCCCCAGCCTAAAAAAAGGGACAGCGAACGCAATCATCGAACTGGTGAATCGGAATCAAAAACTCATGAGGAGCCAAAATCCGAGACCAAAAAGCTAAAGAATTTATCGGAATATGCTCAGACACTGCAGCTTGCTTGGAATGGGCTTCTTGTGCTAAAAAACAGCTGCTTCCCCACCTCTATGCACATCCTGGAGGGAGACCTCGGTGTCATCAACGGACTCCTTAAAGACCATTCATCCGGCGGGAAGTTAACACAGCTCAAAATCGCTCAGAGACTTCGGCTCGACCAGCCCAAGCTGGATGAAGTGACTCGCCGCATCAAACAAGGCAGCCCCAACGGCTACGCTGTGCTCCTGGCCACCCAGTCCACCCCGGCAGGGGCTGAGGGGACCTTCCCTGTTGTAGAGCCTGGCTTGCAGCGACGGCTTCTCAGGAATCTGGTCTCCTACTTGAAACAGAAGCAGGCTGCTGGGGTTATCAGCCTGCCCGTGGGAGGGGCCAAGGGCAGAGACAGCACAGGCATGCTTTACGCGTTCCCTCCTTGTGAATTCTCTCAGCAGTACCTCCAGTCAGCACTAAGGACATTGGGAAAGTTAGAAGAAGAACATATGGTGATAGTTATAGTCAAAGACACTGCCTAGCCCACACTGTCTTTTCAAATTCCATGTTTTCTTTGTGTGTCACACAACCCAGTTGTTTTTAAGGCTGATCATTTTGGTGGGGGCTCAAAACACCTTGGCCAAAATGGTAAGATTTTTAGTTTCTAATTAATTTTAATACCATTTAAATAGAGCCCATTTTATTCGTTTTTAATATGTGACACTGTCCGCTGTTGTTCTGTATTTTTATTTTTTAACTGTATGAAAAGTTGTCAGTAAAGCCTTGTTCACTGATGGATTTCTAAACTTGTGCAGTATCCTAGTTTTTATGGCCCAGGAAGGGCTGGTTCCCTGTGCTGTCAGGAGCTGGAAGGTGATGGTTCCAACCCCTTTCAGTTTCTCAGACCCCAGCCTCCTGCACCTCCTCTGTCTCTTTATCTGTGTCCTCTAAGGTGGGAGGGGGAAGGGGGGTTCTTTGTGTTGTATGAGAGACCGAAAGGTTGGCTCTGTATCTTTTTCTCTTTTTTTTGTTTTTTTTTTTGTGTTTTTTTTTTTGTCCTGTTTGCTTTTTATTTCATAAATCAGTCTGGATGCATTCCTTGTGATTCTCTATTTGAGGATAGAAGCTTTCCAGGAAGCTAACTACCAAGGAAGCAGATCTTGATCAGGAATCAAAGTGGTTTTTATACAGAACAAAAAAAAAAAATTTACAGTTAATACTTGGCAAAAAGTTTGCTACTGAGGAGTCCAACTCTATTCTATTCTGTGAGGTTTGAGAGCACCTGATACATGTCTTGATCAGATAGAAGTTCTTGGGTAAAGTAAAAATGAGACATTTGACCTTCCTGTTTTTTTATAAAAGGAAAAAGAAAACAAGCAGGAGAAAAAAATAATAATTTAAGGGAAAACCCTCTTGGGCCTTTATTAGATGTAGACAAGCAAGTAAGGGGCACAAAGGGTGTTGGACAAAGGTGGCCATTTGTGTAGTCAATCATGTTGCACTACCTGAAAGCCTTCCTTAAAAGACAAATGGCAAAATTTTTTTGCTAAAGTTGAAACTTGTTTGCAGGCTTACAAAAAAAACAAAACAAAAAAACCAAAAACGTCTGGCTGTTTGAAAATGTGTTATGTTACTGCAGGTAACCTGTCTAACTGTAAGAAGCTCTGGAATTCAAAATTGGAAATCTCTGATGGGATGGTTCTGTCACCTTTTCTATCTGTGATATAAGACAGTGGTTCAGGAGAGGAGCCAGGACACTTGCACCTTTGGTGGCTCAGTAATTAAGGATATGGTAACTAATTCAGATTGGAGTTTAAATCCATGCTGTTCAGTTTGGGGATATTTTTATTTTTTAAAATGATGCCTGTAGATTTTAGGAGGCTTACAGGAAATTGTGGGGTATTCAAATCATTGGATTTTAAGGTTTTTGGGGGGTTTTTTTAGGGGTTTTGTTTGGGGTTTTTTTGTTGTTTAGGCAGTAAGCAAGTGAACAAAGCACTGGGAGACCTAGTCTTTCTTTGCACCAGGCTCTGCAGCCAAGCAGACTCACTTGCTGACAGCTGCCAAAGGCCCTTTTAAAACTGTGCTCTCAGGTATGATTGGTATCAAAACCTATATAGCAGGGAGCATAATTCAATCTAATGATACTTTTATCTCTTAATTTTTAACCCTGCAGTTTTACAGTAGGGACATCATCAGCTGATGATGTATGAGCAGTTGCTTAATTTAATAATGTATTGATATCAACAAGTATGGATTGGTTTGTTTGGAGGTTTGTTTTGTTTTAACATTTAATACTGTGATTATATTAAAAGTAAATCTGATGAGTTAGTGTGATCATGAGGGGGTTAGTATTTCACCTGTCAATGCATCTTCTGTACCCCAGAAAATGCAATTCTGTCCATAAGGGCCCAAGTACAGCTAGTAGGCCACAGAGGGTTCTGTCTGGGGGGTGTGGGCACTGTTCAGTGAGAGGTGAGCTGGCTCAGCTGCTAGGAGCAGCAGGGCTCTAGGAAAGCTGCTGTGGGAGCAGAGGAGCAACTCTGCTGCTCCCAGGAGCCAATCCGTGTCTCCAGGCTCGCTGCCCTGGACGGCACTGAGCTGCCCTTCACAGCACCATGGCTGTGCAGTGTAGGGTAGTTGGTCTGCTCCTGGTTTTACACAGTTACAGGGACACTGACTTTTAACCTTGTGACCGAGTCCCCAATGCTGTTGTAATGTAGACAGTGCCAAATGTCAACAAATGTAACCGTTAAGTGTTATCTGAAACCAAGTGCTATTAAATACCCCTTATGGCCAGAGTCATAGAGTGATTAGAGCTTTTTGTCGGAGTATCCTACCTGTTTGAGGCAGAGCACGTGCTGATGCAGGAAAAAGCCTGGCTGGCTTCTTGCTGGCAGGGACTGTCACTTGTGCTCCTGTGGAGTGGCCTCGTGTGTGTGTGTGTGTCAGTGTGTGTGTTACAGTGTGCAAATGTGAGGATCACAAGGGAAAGAATCAGTACACCATAAAAGCTGCAACTGCCTGATGGCAAAGCTAGGGAACCACTAGAAAACCCCATTTCCCACTTTCCTTTTGAGATGAGTAATAGTAATGTAGGGGTGTCTTAGAAGACAAACATTGTCATGCTTTGAGTTGGATAAGATTTTTAGTGATGGGATTTCAGCTCCCAGTGTGTTGGCTGACGGCTGTGAGCATGTGTGATTGAAGAGGGGACAAAAAAATCTCCTTCCTATAAATTAACTGGTATAAATGAGAAGTTGAAGAAGAATTGGAGGAAAAAACACCTTCCCAGCTCCCCAAGAGCCAAGTGAGCCACAGCAATCACTTGAACAGACAGTCTGTTGAGGGCAAGGGCTCCTGCTATATAGCCCTGTTCCCCATTCCATCCCCTTACACATGCATCCAGGCTGCCTCTGAGAGAAATGGGCCTGAAAAAGGGTAGATAAGTTACAGCAAAGTAACACTAGACCTCTATCTTACAGCATGCAAGACTTGGCCCTTAAATTAGGCTGGGATGCAGATCTGGGGAGAAGATAGATGGTGGGGAGGTGGGAGGAACACCACTGCCTTTGCTGTGGAGGAGAGGAGGTGTGTGCATGGTCTTTCAGCCCTGCACATCTACAGCAGTAAGGTAATCACAACAGGGCAACCCTCTTTGTCTTTGAAACTTGGACTGGAACCAGGCTGTGAGAGGGTGGGTTTGGTGGTCTGAGAGCATTAATGTTTATACTAAGTTGCCCCTTTTTGTTTGTTTTATATGCCACTCAGTAAATACTCTGTCTTACAAAGACTCTAACATCATTTGCTAACATCATTTGCTGGCTGTCTTTAATACAACAGAAACAGACAAGAGGCCTAGCCCTAGGCAGTCCCAGATACCCAGCACCTTGATTACTACCCACAGCTAACAGAGGTTTCTACCCTGCTCTCCAAGCTGTAGCCAATATGAGATTTCCTGACCAACCTCACAGCAGGTAAATGCCCACAGCCTCCAAAAGTGGTGGCATGGTGGTTACAGAGCCTGCTCTACAGACCAGAGTTGCAGGGCAGCAAGCACCCTGATCAAGTTACCCATGGTCTGGGCCCCGAATGAAGAGGACTGTGCTGATACAACGGCACAATCTCAGGCTTGGATAGTCTCTGCTAACATCACAGGAGGAAACACAGCATCCTTCCTGCCCCCTCCATCCCACAGAGAGGTAGGTGTATGTTTTAGCCAGCTGGCAGGACATTTAAATGCTCCTTCCACCCCCTCAGCCAAGGTCTGTAATGCCTCCATAAAAGAATTAACTGTGGCATTGCATCAGCACTGCACTGTGTGTAATCAGGAAGATTATATGACTTTTTCCAAACACCATACTCTTAAATAGATTAAATCACAACACCAGGGGAAGAGATGATTTTTCAAATGCTGAGCTTTCTTCTCATCCCAGCTTGTTGCAGTCAAGGCCTGACAAAAACAAAAATTCCCATTTTGCACCCAGCCTGTTACAGTCACTCTATTTCTCAGCACTCTCAAATGATGCCTCACAAGAACAGAGGAGGTAGCACAGGGTGCAGACAGGCTGTGTATTTAACTTGAGCAGCTCTGTGATAAGCAGAGAGGCAGTCTGCCCAGGATATGCAGCAGGGGCTGCTTGGCCAATTGTGGGTGCCCTGCAGCTGCCCAGCTCTGCCTCCTTAGTCACAGGCTCAGGCCCAAGCACACTCCCATTGGCTCCATCAGTAATAGGTGTGGGAGGGGAAGGATGGCACACGTACTTACGGTGTCCCACTTTCAAGTCAAATTTAAACAGGAGCTCCAGCCTAGATGGTCTGGCTTTGTTTCATAAAACTAGTTGGTAAATTTCTCCAAGATAGCCAGGCCTGAAACAGCAACAGATGCAGCAGAGTACAGCTGTGGTATAATACCAGGCAAGGAATCGACACCTGGCACAGTACCTCCTTCTGTCAGGAGTTGAGAATATGCCTTTTTTTTTTCCCCCCCTCCTGAGCAGCACATTTTCTAAGGTAAAGTTGCATAAGATGTTTTTTGATAAGGCAGAGGCTGGCTTCCACAGCTGCTGGATGGCATATCCGATTTTCAGTCCCCTCATTTAATCAGAAGCTGCTCCAATTGCTGGTCTTAAGTGCTGTAGCAATCACAACTGGTTCATCGTTATCGACTCTGTAGAGTACAATTATCCATTATAAGTTGCAGCATAACCTTTCTTTTTAATTATTAACAAGCAGCCCTGGGTAAGCACATTAAGTAGAAGCGATGCTGGAGGGAGGAAAAGATATCCCTTCTCTTGGTTAAAAAGAAAATCCTTCTCTCTTCAAGTAATGAAACCTTGAGCCTTAGTTGAAATGAGCAGAATTCTTGGAGAAACTTGCTGTAGTGTCAAGTAGTGAGAAGCCTCCAGCTCCCTGTTCTGCCTCAATACCTGTTCTGAAAGTGGCCAAAACAGAGAAAGGGTAAAAAGGTAAGTGAATGTTATCTGATCACCTGGGAATCAATAGCACATTTTGTGGCCTTGTCTAAGGAAGCAACAAGCACACTTACCTTCCAGTTCTGACTCAGAACCAAGCTGTGCAGTTGTGTCCTGTACAGTGAAATCAAACACTCAACTGCAATTTTTTTCATCCCTTTCTTAGGGCAGGGCCTCTTGTCCTGTACAAACAGGAGCACCTCATTTGCCTTCTGTCAGCATAGCCACAAGGAAGCCTACATGATGCCAAACCACACACAGCCCAGGAGGCCCAGCACTGCTCCCGCCTCCTGCCACACACAGGCAAGGCCCGAGGGCTCCCTGCAGCTCAA